CGCGTAAGGCTGACAACCTTACCGCCATCTTTGAGCCGATTGTCTAGAAAATGTGGGAGCCTCAACGTCTCACAACTCTATGGGCCTTCACGGCCTGGTACAGGGATAGCTTTACTTTTTTTACTTTTTACTTTACTAATCATTGGATATGCCGGTCACGGTAGCCGAGCGGTCTAAGGCATGTACTGTCTTCGCTCGCTTGGAAACCGGGATCGTGGGTTCGAATCCCACTCAAGGCATGGATGTTTAGTTTGTGTGTATGCGTTTTTCTCTGCTTGTGTACAGGTTGAGGCCTTGCGACGAGCTGATCACCCGCCCAAGGAGTCCTACCGAATGTGTAAGATCTAGAAAAACCGAAGTGAACGGAGAAGTTCATGGAGGTAGGCCTAGGCCCACTGGGGCTGTAGTGCCAAGGAAAAAAACATTGAATATATAGACAACGACGGTAAGACCGACTCTAAGCGCAACATTTATTACTGCTTATTGAGTGAAAAGAAAACGTTTCTAATTGCTTATCTGTTGCAAATGATTATCATATTTTAGTGACATACTCTCACACTATCCGCCTAACCTGTTGTTCCCCACTCGCCGGCAAATTACAGCTACACTGCACTGAAGCAAAAACTGACATCCATGCAGCTACAGGCAAAAAAGCGAGATTTTATCACACGAATTCCGACACTCCATAGGAGGCCCCCTTTTAACATCATCGGGGTTGAAAATTGAAAACAATACAAACCAGTTCCGACGAGTCTGGGCGGTGACGGGTTTAGTGGAGGTTCCTGGAACCTTTCTTTGGCTTGTCATACGTTGTGGAATCCGATGAGATGTTTTCTTGGCAACCACAAGCTTACGAATAACGATAAGAAAAGACTTTAAAAATATGACGTCATGTAGTCTGATAGACGTTTACCGACGTTTCGGAGAAGAGTACAACTTCTATCTTCAGGGTTTAATATTAAGCCATGAAGCAAGGATGTTTTCTTGTTCTTTTCTTGGCTTACTCTTCGGTCCTGAAGACGGAGGAAGTGTATTCCTCCAGAACGTAGGTACTAACATACCAGACTACACGGTGTCACATGCCATGATATGGTATCTTTCTAGCCGCCCCCGAGAGAACTACAAATCCTATGGAATTTGGAAACTTCGTAGCGTTATGAATGTGCAGCATACAGAACTTCACATGCCTACCTGCAATTACACGTATTTACCGCCATGAGGTCAGCAAGCCTAAAAAGACTGTATTCTCTGGCATTCTTTACGATATGAAGTGACAGAGGCGTTCTTACAAGAAACGGTCCGTTGCATGTGGTGACGTATAGACCTGTTGCTAAGCAGTGACTCTGCAAATAGCGGTCATTGCTAGGTAACGCCCGCAACATACACGGACGCGAAAAATGTAAGAAGTGTGTTTTCTGTGTGGTCCGGGCCGCGACCGTTGATATGCGACGTCGCGGTAAACATACTTCTACAACAAAATAGTGGTTGTGTTTCCTGCGTGGTCCGTGCTGAGGAGATATCTTGAAGACGATTGGCGTTACAGTTCAGTTCACGTAACTTTGACTTTGATTTTGACTTTGACGTGCGTACAGAAGCTGGAGAACCTTCATTGTCAAGATATGTTACCCTGAAACGTCTAATGAAAACATACAGTAATAGCCATTGTTGAGAGCTGTTACCAAGCAACGACTAGTGAAAGCAGACCGAGAAGACTTAGCGTGGAGCGATTTGTAGTGTGAAAATCAGCAGTAGTGATATACTTATTTGTAGTTACAAGCTGTATGTGGTCAATAAGTCTATTCGCCAATCAAAGCCCCGTCTATAGTCTCAAATACACGTGACAGTATCTTAAATTCCTGCTAGTGAGATCAATGAACGATCCTTGCACGTTTTCACATTCATATTGCTTATGGGAAAGTTGAGGGCCCCCAATGGACTGCTGCTTAGGCCAACATCGAACTTTTGTTAAAAATAATTAAGAATGTGTTAGTATATCCCAGATATAATTCTAAACGCAGACATAGTACGCTTTCTTATAAAATAGGTACTCTAAAAATTATCTCTACGTAACTGCCTGGTTTTAGCCTGTTTTGCTTGAAAATGAAGGACGTTATTATTATGGGCCTAGGTTTGCTGTCCTCTGTTCTTTTGGTTGGAATTATGTCTGTTATTTAGATCTGGTTAAACCGTCTTTAGAGGTGGAACTAATTGCTTTGGTTTTTGTAGGAGAATGAACTAGCGCGCATACCAGAAATAATCCAGACAAAAGATAAAAGAAAAATAGAAAGCGATAAAAGAATAGAACCGAAAATAATATAAATATTTCGTTTGTGCCCATGCGTATACAACTTTTCTAATTTTTTAACAAACTAATAGATTTTCATGAAACTTGATTTGACATGATGCAAAACTCGGCTACCTCATACATGATTTTTCTTGCTGCCAATCATACCAGTATGCCTTCATGACAGCTTCGAGGTTGCGGTGACTCTAGTACCAATTGGATCATGGAAATTTGTAGGGCCTTAGAAATTCAGAAACATACACATTCTGCTGAGATAATTTGTGTTGATGTTTTAAGTTCTTGCAGGAGTGACCATGAAGGTGTCTACTTCTGGGATATAACGCCTTAAGCAGACGCTGCTTACTGCATGCTTTATGCAGGTTTCTTGCTTAGCGATATATTCCTTCGAAACTTTAGCTAACTTTCACCACACTGCACGGTGTTATAACCAGGAAGTTATACAAAATAACAGCTTGGAGACGGCAAGAGTTTACTTTAATTTTCGATTTGATTGCAGCAACTAATTAAACATTGGCTCTGAACCCATGAAGTGTTATGTCCAGCTAGATCTCAAACAGAGCTACAGCCTGTGTGTGAAGCACTGTTCACATATCACTCAGTGTAACCGCCCTTACTATGCGATTCTTTAGAGGTTATGTCTCACAGGTTTAAAGAGTCGACATCTGGAGCTATACACGAATAAGTTCTTTCCCAGGACCTCTTGTTCAGATTTAGAAGCGCCATTCAGTACTTTACATGTGACTGCAACTACCTCCTAAATTAATCCCCCCCCTTTCACTTAAAACGTCAGTGACGCCACTGCAACGCGAACCCCACCAGCTAAAATACGCTCCCCTGCTCCCTGCTATCGTCATCACCCTACCCCAGCATTCACGTGATTGGTCGCTTGTCATGACATCGGAATTATAATAATCTGATTATTGGACTTGTCTAGAAAGAAACAGACGTTTCAACTTGATATAGAAAGTTCGATATGGGGTATCTCTGCAGCGTTCGAACGCTTGCTTCTGTATGCTTTAATGTTTCCGAAAATTTGACCTTTCCCCGTTATATGCATGCATTGCTGTAGTTACTAGGCGCCACAGCTGTTCGTCTGTCCAAGGCATTTCTTCTTCGGTAATGGCAGCTCACATTATCATGACCAATTTATTCCGCGGCAATTTTACTAGCCAAAGGACATGAATATTTTCAAACTAAATGTTAGGGATGGATTTCTTTCTGAATGAAGAAATGTTTTAAGATCAAATGAGACAATACTTTCTGGTACGACTGTACTATAAATTAGCTGAGATAAGTTTGTTTCCAAAACGAAGCTTAGGTCGTGAGGTAAGCAGAAGCATGAAAAATGGAAGGCCTACAGGGGACATAAACCCAAGTAGTGAGAACATACATACGAAAGGGGGACAAATGTGGGCGCCGCAAAAGGAAAATAACGCGGAATTGTGAGAGAGACTTTCGGTCTCAAACAAACGTATTTTAATGTGAACAACGGTATGCAGTAATACGGAAATATATTTACTTAAGCTCTAGTGCAGGGCGACGGTTTTCAAAAAGTGAACAGTTGCCTGAAGATGGTCAAGTAAGGCCGAAACATGATGCAGTTGATGTGAGTTTAACGTTAAATCAAATTAAAGAGATACTGTGAATATTTTTAAGTTGTATTGAAAAAGGAGATGAATGTGTGAGCGCTACGTGTGGTAAAGCTATCCCTGTAAGAGGCCACGGAAGCCCACAGGGCTGTGAGACGTTGAGGGTCCCACATTATCTAGACAATCGGCTCAAAGATGGCGGTAAAATTTGAGATTTCCTCAATAATTTCTAGAAGTGGCTTTACGATACAGTATTAAATAAAAACAGATTTTTCGCATGGCAATATGACAGAAGAAGAGAAGAAATGTCATTTAAATTGGAAATGACGTGAAAATAGAAGTGAATATATAAACAAAAAACAAACTCCGTGGCCTGTAGTCTGCAAGCGAACTATACCGACCGAGCGACCGCCGCTTGTCGGCGAAGTTAGTGCCAACCTTGGCCGCGCCATAGCTCAAGCGGTTATTCTCTGGCTTCCCACCACGGTGGCCCGGGTGGCGCTGGGGCGGGTTTTTTCCGAGAACTTCGGTTTCCCCTGACAATCTTCATTCCACCAAATTCTCCATCATCATAATCACTTGGGGCAGGCTACAATAGGCCAATCAGTGGCCGCCGTGCCGGGTTGACCCAGTTGGACTCCACCCCCCACTAAGCGAATTACAAAAAAACTTGTGCCAACTTTTGAGGATAGAGGGTGCCATGTGGTCAGCGCAACGAATCCCCACGGCCGTTAATTTCAGTTTTCTAGACCGCAGCCGCTATTTCCTTGAAATAGCTCCTCAATTATCCTCATGAGGCTGAGTGGACCCCGTTCCAGACCCATTATTTCTCAGAAAATCTGGTAGCGCCGGGAATCGAACCCGAACCTCTGGCTCTGTAGCCAGGAACTCTGACCACTGGACCACAGAGGCAGTCAATGAAGATACAATATTGCTCAAATTAGCGTATGTATATGATCTCAGGGCCGGTCACAGTAGCCGAGCGGTCTAAGGCATGTACTGTCTTCGCTCACTTGGAAACCGAGATCGTGGGTTCGAATCCCACTCAGGGCATGGATGTTTAGTTTGTGTGTGCGTTTTACTGTGTTTGATTTGTTTGTGTACAGGTAGAGGCCTTGCGAAGATATGAACTCAGAGGACAGGGAGACGTGAGAAGTCCCAGAAGTGCGTGAAAAGACTCAAAACTTTTGTTCACCGGAATGCCTCGTAGCATCCAATTCTTCTTTTGGAAACAGACAAAGAGTGGCAGTGCACAGTTGCTTCCTTGCAATAGAATACTCGGCCCATCCTAACCTCCTTCGGACTTCTGCATTCATCTGCCATCCAGTAGTAGCTGTGTGTCAGTAAACAGAGTTGTAGCGTGTGCTTCAGTATGAATTCTCATGAACTACCGTCCAGTACTGCAGATACAGGGAGCACCACTGAATGTTTTCAGCATCGGCTGCCGATCGCAGTGGCCGCGCGGTCTGAGGCATGAGTTCTTCGCTCTATCAAATGCTGAGATCGTGAGTTCGAATCCCACTCAAAGCATGGATGTCTGTGTATGTTTTTATTCTGTGTTTGTGTTACCCTATGTATAGATAACGGCCTTGCGATGGATCTGATCACTCCTCCAAGGAGTCCTGCCGTCCGTGTAAGAAAGATTACGAAACTGAAGAAGAGGCCAGGGGCCAAGAAAGGGCTGTAGAGCCATTGATGAATGAATGAACGAAAGAGTCTGGTAAATAAAGGATACTGGAATTAATAGCAGCATGCATTTCACATTATCTGCGCTGAGGTGCCCGGATATAGCGAACGTAACAATGTTGAGAGAAGTTTAAATACAGAACTTGAAACAGGCTGCGTGTATCATTCCGTGTCCAGTAGGGCTTCTTCTAAAAGATATGATGTTCATAGGCAACGCAGAAATTGAGACCAGAATAGCTTAAAGCTAAAAATACCAGGGCTTCTAACCTTTGAAAAAAAATCGGTTCCACATGCGGTTAGGTGGCCTGGAATTTGACGTTGTAAGAAGCCGAAGTTTGTATTTAATTTTGACATAACACGAATGTATACACATTTGACAGAAGAAAATGTATTTATACGCTGTTTGCCCGAGTTCTGTGACTTGCGACAAAACGTTAAGGGACAGTAACTTACATAACCGAATCGGTACAGTTGCTGATACACGTAGTTAACATTGCGCCTTTTGTGCTTGAACGTCACCTTTAAGAGTTCTATCTTCTGGAACATAGAGTCATGTAGTCCGGTCACTTCACGTGTCCGCACGGCTCTGTCTACCACAAGATGGCCCTCCTCTTCGCAACCAACGCTGTGAGACCCTCGTATCCTGAGTCACCTCGTTCTCTATGTTGGAGGCTTATTCGAGTCTTGTCTTCCTCCAATAGTAGGTGCTTTCCAAATCCTATTCAGAGAGGTTAGACAATTGCTGTAGATGGGGGAACAGCTCACAGTAATGCTCCTACCTTAGTAACGCTCACTCACTCACTCAGTCACTCTTGAAGCTGAGACCTTCTTGAGAAACCGCCAATTGTGCAGCTACTCAAGAATTCTCCAACATTTTATGGAATCCGAAATTTCATTACCGTGTTCACAAGAGCCCTTCACTGGTCCCTACCCTGAGCCAGATCGTTAAAGTCCATACCATCTCATCCATTTCAATATTGTTCACCTACCAATGTCTTGGTCTTCCTAGTGTCCTCTTTCTTTCTGACTTTCCCACCAACGTAACGCAAGACAGAAAAAATACAGTAAACACATTTGCACAGAGGCAGGATTGGAACTGGGAATCCCAGTGTTTGGTCGGCCTAAACCAAGAAGTAGGAAATAACACGAAACAAATGTAATGTAGGCTGTCCGGTCAACAGGAAATGTAACATGTCATCCATAAATCGAGATGAAAGGACACGCTAAGACTCTTTCATTTATCTGCCCTTCCTAGCAGGTATACAGCACAGTGTCTTCGAAAAGGCGCCCAATCCTGAAGCAGTAATAGATTTCCAGTTTGGCTTCCTGATAAATTCGCAGGCGGAGAAGAAGTTAAGAGCTTTCTTTAGACCGGGGATGTCCAAACTGAGCACCGTTGGAAACCGGAAGTGGAAATAAAATGTAGCAATTCATACATACGCTCTTAGGGCATAAACTTTTAGCAGTTGTGGACGAATTTGCTTGCGAACCCGGATGTTTTTTTTATTCGCATAGTGGGGGGTTGAGTGCAGCTGGGTGCACTCGGCACGGCGGCCACTGATTGGCTTATTGTACCTGCCACGGTGATAATGACGATGGAGGATTTGGTGGAATGAAGAAATTCGGGTTCCGTAAAATCCTGGGAAGTTCTTGAGTAGCTGCACAATTGGCCGGTTCTCAAGAAGGGCTCAGCTCCATGTGTGAGTGAGTGGGTGAAGGCAATTATGTCAGTGGGTGTTACATCTCTCCTAGACAATTCTGTAGTGTCGATAAGTTAAAATGAAGAATTCGCTGCATACGCCACAATAGACTCATACACGCAGTCACTGCAAGACAGAGAGTGACTGTAGCTAGGTGTTTATATATACTGAGTCACTGATTCATTGATGGCGTGCGCCAAGGGCAGTTATTGGCCCAATTAAAAGGCATAGTGTGTTAAATACGCGAAGAAAATTCTGTTTATAATCTCGATTAGTATTTGTTCCAAAGAAATAGCTGCCCAAATTAATCGGTGGCCCTATTAACCAGAACACGCTCTATTCCCTGACTTGTTCTCTGCGACGTTTCTTTACTATTTCGCGGCATAAACAGAACATGTAACTAGAGTTAAAGTAAAGAAATGTTCGGCGGGCCGCGCCATAGCTCAAGCGGTTAGTCGCTGGCTTCCCACCGCGGCGGCCCGGGTTCGATCCCGGGTCTGGTCAAGTGGGATTTGTGGTGGAGAAAGTGGCGCTGGGGCAGGTTTTCTTCGAGTACTTCGGTTTCCCCTGCAAATCTTCATTCCACCAATTGCTCCACAATCACCCTCACCTGTCATCTGGGGCTGGTACAGTAGGCCAGAAGTGGCCGTAGTACAAGGGACTTACTCCCACCCCACTAGCAATAAAAAAATAAATGTTTATGTTTGCTGAAGTGATAGAAAATATGGCATTAAGTTCTGAATCCTCATAATACATTCATCATGGACCTTGCGTTACGAAAGCACCGACGGACACACTGACTTCCCCATAAGAGGAGGTCACTTCATTTTGTCTAAGAGTACTTTGTCACGGAAGGAAATGTTAACATGAAACAGTAAAATGTCGGATTTAGCCCAAGTTGGACAGCCCTGTCGTTAAATTGACAGTAAGAAGGGTCCACGCCCTAGGAAAGATGTATGTCTTGCATCTAGACTGCTCGGCAGTTTTCCATTTCCAGAGCCACTCGCCAGAACGGCTTACCAGCCAGTGGACAGATACAGCCTGATCATCAAGATGAACTCCACTACTAGCTCCGGACGCTGAACAAGCAGGACGACTGGAACCCCATTCCCGAGAAGGCAGCACCCGTGAGTCCGTGTTGGAACTACCAGTTCAAGAAGACTGAGAGGGGCAGGAGACGTGACACGCATAGAAAAGAAGTGCTTACACAGTTCTGGCAGGAAAGCTTAGAAGGAAGAGAACACTAGGAAGACCTAGACGTAGATGGAAGGATATTGTAGCATGTAGACCAGTTGCTAAGTAATGAGTCTGTAGACAAGGGCCATTGCTAGGTATTGACCGTAATAAGCAACAAGAATTGTGTTCTCTACGCGTTCCGAGCGATAGCCACGTGATGCAACAATAGGAGAACTGTTGGGAGAAGTGTTTCCTGTGCGGTCGGTGCCGAGGCTATATAACGAGGAGCAGCTGCGTTTACGGGAGTCTTGACACGGCATTGAGAAATAGTAGGATGTCGGTGTGAGATGGCCCCATCCTGGGAGTTAGTCAGTTGGAGCAATGAGTTAGTGGTGAGACAGTCGCTGGCCAGTAAGGACATGAACACGGGAGCTGAGGAAGCTACAGCGCTGAAGCCGTTACCAGGTGACAACCAGTGAAGACACAGCAGACCGAGAAGACTTCGCACATGCTGCAGTGAACTGCAATGTGTGAATTAGCGTTAGCGCTATAGTTACTTGTGGTTACAATCTGTAAGTGTTCAATACGTCTGATTGCCAATCCAAACCCAGTCTGTAGTAAAGCACGTGACAATATTATACTGGATCTTAAATGTAATAAAAGGGCGTGCAATGGACTGAGCTAGCTCAGGACGGGGACCAATGGCGGGATCAAGTGAACGCTCTAATAGAGATTCGGGTTCCAGAAACTCTGGGAATTCCTTGATCAGCTGGGCAACTGTTGACTTCTCAAGGACTCAGGTCCATTAGAGTCCACAATGGTACTGTACCACACCCAGTCTTCTATATCACTCATTCCAAACTCTTTTAGCTCGAGGCTCCCTTGATATAAATACAAAATATATGAGGCCCTAAATAGTCAAACTCCTGGCCTGTAGTCCGCAACTGAACTATACCGACCGAGCGACCACCGCTTTTCGGCGAAGTTAGTGCCAACTTTTGCTGATAGAAGGTGTCACGTGGTCAGCGCAACGGATCCCCACGACCGTTAATCTCGGTTTTCTAGACCGGAGCCGCTATTTCCTTGAAATAGCTCCTCAGTTATCCTCACGAGGCAGAGTGGACCCTGTTCTAGACCCACTACTTCTGACAAAACCTGGTAGTGTCAGGAATTGAACCCGGGACGTCTGTATCTGTAGCCAGGAACTCTGACCACTAGATAACAGAGGCGGTCTATATGAGGCCCTAAAACTTACTAGAATGACAGCCTGCAATGTGTTTTAGAAATTTAAAAATATAATTACTAATGAACCTGAATTATATTCATGAATTACTTTTCTACTCATGCTATATGTTTGTAATTTGATGTGTTTTTTCTTATCAATTTATGTGTATGCTAATTAGACCATTTGCATTCCTGGCGCCTTCAGAAGAAAGCTATGCATAGCCCAGGAGGAGAGCACGGCCGTTGCTTTCGCCATGGTAACATCTCAAGTAGAACTAATGTAGGATTTTAATTTATCAGAGCAGTGCTTATCAATATTGCGGCGTTCTGTGATGAAGCGCATGCAATTTGGTAAGCAGGTCTGAAGTTGCAGGCATTGGGTTCCTCCTAAGCGTTGGTATCTATCGACCAAACTACACGGCAACACACCTCGGACCACCTCAACTACTCCATCTAGTGCAGAGACTAACAGTAGGTGAGCTTGATGTCCACATCACTTCTACGCCTTCATGGCGGGCGTGTTGTATAAGTCACAGGGGTTTAGTTGCATGTGCTTTACTAGACAGTGAGTGGTACTGTGTTTCGCATTCCTAAGCTGCATGGTTCGAATCGTGACGCATATTCTGACCGTAGTTCCACCATGTGCAATGACGTACCTACATTATTTTTTTAATCAGAAAGTTATTTGATGTCAATGAAATTTCCCCAGTAGGACTAACTGCAACGAAGGCAGTATGATTGAATTGCACTATAGAAAGACTCCCTCGGTACGTGTTCACGCCCTCAAC